GCCGCTGCTTCGTATCGCCATTATCGTTCTCCATCCGGTCGGCAGTCATTGGTGGTGCCGATCGCCCTATGCCACTATTTGGCTAGTAGCGTCATGTTCCGTAGTAGCTACTGTTCAAAGCGTCGAACTGCTAGATCAGTGCTACCCGAAACTGCGCCCACGTCACAATTTTGTTGTCAATTCACTCTAGAGCTGGGCCTCATGACAGTGATGCTGCGAGCCGTATGCGCATCGCGTCTTGGTGTTGACAGCTATAACGTTATGCGGAAGCGATTGAAGCTTGAACTACAAACTTAACTTTGTAGAGGTTGCAGACCAGCACGGAGTCGTTGCCACTTGCGCCTGCTGGCAGCCCCGTGACGAAATCCATTGTCACCTGTTGCCACGGTCGTTCGAGTGGCTCAAGGGGTTGCAGCAACCCAGCTGGGCGTTATCGTGACGACTTCATTGCTTGGTAGGTCGGGCATGCTGACACGTAGCGCTGCACGTCCGACGCCATGTCGGGCCAGTAGTAATTCCGCTGCAGCAGCTTCAGTGTTTTGTCAACGCCGAAATGCCCGTAGAGGTTAGAGTCGTGAACCTCCTGCGTCAGCAACTCTCGTAAGGTCGGTAGGAGGGTACCCAAACTCGGTTGGTACCGACTTTTAGATGATAGCTCCTGTATGGCGCGGTGACCCGTTGGTGTTGTTTCGTCCTGAAAAACCGGTCGGTCCTGTATCCGTGCTTGAAAAGTCATGTCAATAAGGGGTTAGAATGGGCGATTAGTACTGCGCCGGTTTGCATTGATGGGCGGGTCAGGGCGTCGGCGATGTTGTTGGCGCCTTTCTTGTATGTAATGGTGTAGCGGAAGTTTGACTCGAGGTAATCGAGCCACCTGATTTTTCACGGGTTGAGCTGTGGTTGGCTGCGCATGTACTGTAATGACTTGTGGTCTATCCTGATCGTGACGTCGGCTCCCGTGAGATAACAGCGCCAGGTACGAAATGCATGCACGATGCCGAGCATCTCTTTGTCGTGTACAGGGTAGTTGCGTTCGGGCGGCTGCATGTTCCGTGATTCGTACGCAATTGGTTGCAGCCCGTTGCCGAAATCATGTAGAAGGACGGCGCCGACGGCGAAATCGCTGGCGTCCGTCACGACTTCGAACGGTCGAGATGGGTCTGCCAGCCGAAGCACCGGGGGTGAACTCAAATTTTTCTTCAGCTCGTCGAAGGCCAACTGTTCTCTCTCCCCCCAAAGAAATTGCACGCCGTTGTGCAGGAGATCGGTTAACGGCCTGGTTACCCCCGCCATATTCGGTACCAATCGGCGGACGTAGTTAACGAAGCCAAGGAAACTCTGCAACCCCGTGATGTTTGTGGCACTCCGAAATTGCTGTTACTTTGCGGGGGTCAATTTTAATGCCCTCCCCATAAACCACGTGCCCCAGGAACTCAAGCTCCGGCTGTAAGAACTCACACTTAGAGCCCTTCATAAACAGCCGATTCTGCTGCAAGCGCTAGAACACCTCCTCTAAATCCTGTAAATGCTGCTTTCGAGTTTTTCTGTACACCAGGATGTCGTCCAGGTAAACGATGATTTTTTTGTCCAGCATGTCCTGAAACACCCCGTTCATGGTGAGCTGGAAGGTCGAGGGCGCATTTGTCAACTCGAAAGACATCACTGTATACTCGTAACTGCCGTAGCGGGTGCGAAACACGGTCTTCGGGCAGTCGTCGGCGAACACGCGAATTTGATGGTAGCCACATTGCAAATCGATTTTCGAGAAAAAGCGAGCCCCGCGAAGCTGATCCAGCAGGTCATCCGCTCGCGGAGTCGGGTAACGTGACTTGATGGTGATCCGATTCAGCGCTCGATAGTCGATGCACATGCGCAGGCCTCCGTCCTTCTTCGGCGTGAATAGTATCGGGGCGGCGAAAGGTGACGTGCTCGGCCTGATAAAACCCTTCGAGAGAAGATACTCCAACTGCTTCCGCAACTCGTCGAGCTCCGGTTGGCTGAGCCGCCACTGGGACCGAACAGTTGGTTGCGCGCCTGGCTCCAGCTCGATCCTGTGGTCTTCTGGTCAATGAGGTGGTAGCCCATCAGGCAGGTCATCCGCGAAAATTTCGGGATACAGCAGCGCAGAGCGTGTCAATGTCGGCGATCTTTTCGGAGGCAGCCACCTCGTACAGTTGTACGGCGTAGCCTTGTGCTCCCCGCTTTATCGCCCTCTTCAGCGTTATCGCGTTGACACGTGTTGTCATCGGCTCCGGCTCCGCCCATTTTGGAAGGGTCACACGCCCCTTGTTGCTCAGCCTCGTGCAAGCCCCCGTCATCCAGTCGATCGTCGAATTGTATCGCTGTAGCCAATCTCTTCCCATCAGCACATCGCAACCGTCCAATGTCGTCGCCAGCATCTTCATTGAAAACCCGAAATTGTCGCCACACTTCATCCGAATTTGTCGCACCTCGTCATTGATCGCCAGCGGTGTCCCGTCCACAAGTCGCGCGTCAATCTCGGGCAGACACCTGTCCAGCTCAACTCCGATTTGTTTGGCCGTTGCCAGGTTGACGCGACTGTGGCTCGCCCCACCGTTAACGATTTTTTTTTTTTTTATACCCGTCAACCCTCCCCACAACCAGTACAGGGTGATTCACGTGTTCATCCACCTTATTCGTCCGGTTGCGGTCGATAGCCCGTATCGGTACCACCACTCGGTGTGGATGTTCATTGCCGGGCGACTGGGTCTCGTCAGTAGGTGGCCCGACTGCTACTGACTCGTCTCTTTTCCCGACCCCTCTCCGTCGTTCCTGTTCCCCTGTTTCAGCTTCGGGCAGTCTTTCCTCCAGTGGCCCGGTTGGTTGCAATTGAAGCACGTGTTTGGTGCATGTCTCGGCGCATCCACACCGTTGATTGTGGGCTGGCGAGGCGGTCCACGAAATTGATTGCCCTCCCGGGAACTCAATCTCGCCCACTGCATCAGCGCGTCCGTTGCTTCGGCCGGCTGGACGACATCGAGAAATTCGCGTGGCCTCGTTCGTCGCACTTCGTACTGCACCTCGTATTTGAGGCCTGCGACGTATTTGTCGAGCAGCTCCACGTCATTCATATCGTCCACTTGGTCGGCCAAGGCGCAGAATGTCGCCGTGTAGTCTTGGACCGATGTCACCTGCACGCAGCTTCATGCGAGCAGAATCCGAGGCGGATACGTGCTCGAATCTGGCTCGCAGCGCGGCGCCCCACTTCGTCCATGTGCGTATCGTAGCCACTCCGAAGATTGTAGTTGCTCGTTGCGTGACAGGTGTCCGGGTCCCGTCGTTCGAACGTGATATCCCTGCTGGAGTCCCCTCTGTCTGAAGCACTTGTCTCCACCACTCCAATGCAGCTCCGCGTAACAGTGACACTGCAAATTTAATGCGAGTGACATCATCAGCAATCTGCGCAGCATTAAGAAAACCTCCACGCCGAACAACCACGCGGACACAGTGACAGTTTTGTCGCTGGGGTTGAACGAGGGCGGGTTTGTCGGTTTTATCTTGACAGTTGTCGGAACAACTGCTGCCGCATGCACTGGGGGCGCCATCGAAGCCATCGTCGGGATTGTCGCTGGTGCCTGTCGTGGCAGTGTTTGCGACTGTTGCCTTGGCTTTGCTCGTTCCTGTTGCTGCTGTCCTGGCGCTTCCGGTGCATGTTGCTGTTGTGCCGCCCACTCCTCTTCAGCGTCCTGCGAGGCATCTAGCTCGTTAAACACGTTCTCGTTGAGCGATGAGCTGCTACTTGGTTCATCCACAGCGGACGACTCTCGGCGCGCTTCACCTCGCGCCTGGCGTAGTTCGGCGTTTTCCACCCTCAGGCGCTCCAACCTGCCAGACATAGTCTGCATGTTGGATTGCATCGCCCGAAAGTCCTGCATGAAATGATCAAATTCAGCCTGTTCCATATTTCTCAGGCTCCTCCTAGCGGGCAGGGGGTTAACAATGATTTTTATGACTTTGATGAAGGCGCAAACGCTATTAGTCGGAGCGAAATAATCGTATCTATTTCTCAGCCGACCGCTTTGCAGCCCACCAAGTCTATCGCACCCCTCCACTAAACTACCCCGGAAACTGGTGGGTGATTTAGGAAAGTAGCTCTGATACCAAGTGTTATGAGTTGTACGAAAGGAAAGTGTGCAGGGCTAGCTAGGCCGAGGTCGCGGATTCGCGAGATGTTTGGGTGCAGGTTTGGGGTTGAAAAACTCGAAGGCGACGCGAGGGACGTTCGGAAGGCAAGGTCGTCGGACCGAGCCGGAACTCCGAAAGTTGGAATTGTACGCGTACAGAGTGCCTCAGTAAGGAATTAGGAAAATTTCTTACACCTATACTCCGCACAAGATCATTACCTCTGCTTGCTCGAAGGATCAGCGTTTATTATCCGAGTAGTTCGGTTTAGTACGTTCGGTTTCGATCTGATCGCTGCTTTTGGTGATGCTATCACGGAATTTATTTATATACTTTGGCAAATTTGATATGCATGCGTGACCGATAGAAACGGGTCGGAATTTGTCAGAAGCATGCTTTCTTGAGGTTCTCTGGTTTGCTGCGTATAATATGAGGACGAGGCGAAGCCGTCATTCATGCGTTCGTTACATGCCATACATGTCGTTATGCGGTTATCTAAATCGTCGTGCTTGCATTGGTAACGTTACAGGGTGAAATTCGGCCTGCAACCAGGCGAGCTTCCTCATTCATGCGGCCCATAAGCTCAGGTGGATTTCGCCCAGCCATGCTTGAGTAGCAACTTAGTAGAGTCAAAGCCTCTGGGCAACGGACACTTTCAAGTCCCAATCTCTTGCAGCTCACATCTCACATGCGATCCATTCTAGATCTGTTCTCTTCCCACCGCACCGTTCACCTGTCCATCGAGTCGTCATAAGCTAAATCTGCTTTTCAAACGAGTTTTCATCACGGCACAATGGTGTTGTAGATCCAGATAAACCAGACGAATATCTCTCTGGAACCAGGTCCAGGTGCCGTCCATGGTCCTTAGCTCTCGTTTGGGTGCTGTCGAATAGTTTTTAGCTGTCATTTGGATGCTGGACTTATCCTGTTAGTCTGGTTTGGGTGCTGTACTATCCTTTGGTCTGGTTTGCATCCCTCCCCCCCTCCCCCCCCCCCCCCCTCCCCTCCTCTCCTCTTCTAATGCTCTTGCCTTGATTTTCCTTTTCTCCTCGCCTCAGTGTGTTGCTGTCCCTGTGCCCTTTGTTGTCTGGAGCAGATCATATCGCAGTCCACTAGGGGGGCGTTGGAGGTGGAGAGGTAGGCGGCTCATGCATGTGTGCCCTTGCAAATTGTGTGCTGGTATTTGGTTTTACCACTCTGTACCACCCCCCCATTTTTTTTTTCCAGCGCAGTTGTCGTATGGAGCAGGTCATTTCGCACTTTAATCCACCAGGAGGGAGCAGGAAAGGAGCGAGGGGTAGTGTGTGACGCGGTGGCAATGGAAGGGCAGTCAAACGTGCAGGAGGTGGTGAGGCGGATGGTGGAGAGAAACCTTGATGCGATATGTTTCCAGCTTGAAGTGGACATTGGCAGAGGTACGTGGTATGTTATGTAGCATGAGAATGGTAGCTAGAAGGACAACTGGTTGCGGAGAGGTAGAGGGGAGAGGTAGAGCGAGAGGTGACGCTGCTCTGAGGTTGAGGCGGTGAGGCAAGCGGTGCTTCTGATCCTCATGTGGTGTTTGGGATCATGAGGCAGTGCTTGTGTTTCAAGAATCACCGTTTGGGGATTAGAAACACCGCTTGGGATCAGAAACAATACTTGTGGGTCAAAATTATCGCTTAGGGTTGGGTCACCATTTTAGGATTCGATCTTATGTGGTGTTTTCCCATTTCTTGGGTGGTTGCATGATGTTGCCCGTTCGTGGTGGTGTTTCCTAAATTGTGCGGTGTTTTCGAGTTCTTGTGTGATGCATTTTTTCTCACCCCCGGGGTAGCACGGATAATGAAATTGGAGGAGCTGATGAAAGTGGGTACTAGTGAGGAGGAGAAAATGGGGTCATTGGAGAGGCTGAAGAACGTTCTGAGGGAAGGGCTGCAAGAGGCAATTGATAAGATTGAGATGCAAAGGGGCCGTTGCGAGGTGCTGCAGAGGGAAAAGGAGGAGCTTCGGGCAAAGCTTGTTCACTTGGAGGAGCAGGTGAGGGCGGATGAGTGAAATGAGGACTTGTGTGTGATTGTGGGTGGTATTTGCGTTGAAGATTACAATGGACTTCTCTATACCGCACTGCATCACGTCTAGGAAGTGCTCTTCCCTCTATTTTTGTGCATGCAGGCCCAGGTGCAATGTGGAGTGGCAGAGGCCAAGGTTGGTATGTTGCTGCAGCAAGTGGCAGCATCCCAGCAGGCAGAGTTTGCTCGCAAGATACAAGCGGCGGAGCAGGAGGGACAGAGGGCTGCCCTCGCACGGGAGCTGCAAGTGTGCTGGGCTGACCAGGCAAGAAATGCTGCTGAAATTGAGAGAATTGTTGCTGAGAGGGACGATTTTGCCAGGGAAACAGCACACTTGCTGCTCGTAGAGCGGGAAGTGAGGCAAAATCAGGTGGAGGCTTTGGTGGTGGAGAAGGAGAGGGCTGTTGGGCTGGAAGTGGAGCTAGCAATTGCTAACGAGAGAAGTCCAGCCTTGAGGGAGAAAGCTGCAGTGCAAGAAAGGCAGCGGAGGGCAGACCTGAAAGAGGCACGAACGCAGATGGAGGTTCTAGTGGTGGAGAAGGAGAGGGCTTAGAAGCTTTTGTTGGAGGCAAGAGGTGCTGAGAGGGAGAAGGTGAGGGCGCTGGAAGAGCAGAAGTGTGCTTTGGAAGATGCTCTTGAGGGAACGAGGAGAAAGGAGGTGGAGATTGAATATGTTAGAGAGAAGGTGAGAAAGTTGGAAGAGGAGAAGAGGACGTTGCAGGAAGCCTTTGGGGGAGTGAAGAGACAGCATGTGGAGATGGAAAATGGTGGGAGAGAACAGGTGATGGCATTGGAAGGGCAGAAGAGGAGTTTGGAGGTTCTGGTTGAGGGAATGAAGAGGAAGATGGAATATCTCGGGAGAGGATTTGTGAGGGCGTTGGTAGGGCGGGAGGAAGAGCTCAGGTTGGAGAAAGAGCTGGTAAATTTCTCTGTAAGCCACCTGGAAGAGCTTAGGTTGGAGAGGGAGCGGCTGAATCTGCCTACAGGCCATCTGGGTCATAGGAAACGATTGCTGGAGACTGACTCTGCTGCTGGTACCCCTGCTTCTGCTGTCCCTTCTGTTATGGTTCCGTTGCTATCCGTGCTCCTGCTCTTGCTCCTGCTGCTGTTATCCCTACGTCTGCTGGTACTGTAATTCCTACTGCTGCTGCTGCTATCCCTGCTCCTCCTGATGATGTTTCTGTTGCTGCTGCTGGTATCCTTGTTCCTGTTGCTGGTATCCCTACTGCTGAAGCTGCTATCCCTATTCATGTCGCTGTTACACCTGTTGCTTCTTCTGTTGCTGCTATACCTGCTGTTGCTGTTGCTGCTATACATGTTGCTGCCTCTTCAGCTGCTGCTGCTATACCTGCTGCTGCCTCTTATGCTGCTGCTGCTGCTGCTGCTGCTGCTGCTATACCTGCTGCTGCCTCTTCTGCTGCTGCTGTACATACTGCTCCCTCTTCTTCTGCTGCTGCTGCTATACCTGGTATTGTCTCTTCTGCTGCTGCTGCTGCTGCTGTAGAGAGCGCAGTCGCCGTGGTTGAAATTGCAACGATTGGGCTCCCTCTTGTCACGATTGTGAGACAATTCAAGGCGAGCGTGAGAGCGGTGAAGCGACTCATAACAACTGTCGACTTGAAGGGAAAATACCAGAGCGTCTATGAGGAGTTGAAAAAACTACAGGACCTACTGGATTCAGCTGGTCAGGTTATTCGTGTAGAGAGGGGGAGGAGGATCCAGTCTCAACTTCGGCAGCGGGGTGGGGGTGCTCTAGGTTGGGAAGGTAAGGTTACTGGTGTGCATGGAAGTACCACTGAAATATTGGCGGCATTTTATTATGGTGCTCTAAGAGAGGAATGTTTTTCGGTTGGAAGTTGGATAGAGAAATCGCAGCAGAGTGCTTTCCAGGCAGGACAGTGCACCCTTTTCGCGGTTTATGTCTTCAAAAGGGCGGACCAGGTTGCGTCATTGTACAAGAGGTACTTGGGGAAGAAGCTGATGAGGAGGCTGCATAATCTGTCTGAGAAAGAGGTCCGTTGGTTTCTAGGGGTGTTAGGTGATGGCAAGAAGTGGAGTACGATGGTGGCCTTTTTTCGGCGCGAATACCCGCTAACAGCAATGGAAATGTCGGTAGCTGCCGAGTCGGCAGTAGAGGAGGGGGGTGCTGATGCACCGGAGGAAGGAGGTGTGTGCAGTTGTGATCTAGACTCCACAGATGGACATCCAACCTGGTCGGTTTTTCTTCAAGCATTCTGAAAGGAGATGGGGCAATTAAGCAGGGACTACTAGGTTAGTCAATACCAGCAGTGGCCAGAGATAAGGAGCAAAAGCTGGGGCAAGTTGCACGAAGCTGAGAAGCTGCTAGGTGAGTGGGAGTTTTATAATGTCACTCGCCTCACCAGATGGAGGGAGGACCCAGACGCTCTTTCACCATGGCCCACAGAAAAACGGATCTCTCGGATCATGGAGTGACGACTCGGCGCAGTCATTCTCTACTGCACGAAAACTGGTCTTCTGTGTAGAATTTGTCTTTAAATGGAGGGATCACGAGGTGGAGGGTGGGGTGAGAAGGTTTCCGGATTTCTGGAAGCATTGCGAACAGTTTCTCAGAGAATCACTTATGGGGAAGCTGGAAGCGGTTACGAAAGAGAGGGCGTTGAAAGCCTTTGAAATGCATACGTGGGCGGCCTTTATTGATGAAGTTGAGAAGAGTGAAAAGGGAAAATATATAAAGGAGCCATGCCAACTGGTGCCTAATGGAGATGTATTTGGGAAAGGGAGGAGGAAGGAGGAGGAATGATGAGGGGGAGGAGGACGGACGAGGAGGGGGAGGTGGAAGGACGAAGAGGAGGAGGAACGACGAGGGGGAGGGTTGAGGGAGCACATGGAGGAGGGGGAAGAAGGGTACAGAAGAGGCGAAGTAGGTTTAGGCGGGAGGGGACTGACATGGCAAGTGGGAAGGGTGTACGATATGCTATGTACATGGGTTTCTGGGGTGTACATGGTTTGCTGGGGTGTGCATGGTTTGCTGGGGTGTGCATGGTTTGCTGGGGTGTGCATGGGCTGCTAGTGTATGCATGGGCTGCTAGTATATGCATGGGCTTATGGGGGTTCTTTTTCGTGTGTGCTTTCATCTCCACTTATTCTTTCATTTCTATCTGGAGTTGGTCTGCATAGGGCATTGGAAAAATTGTTGGATATTTCAACGTCCGGTGGAGCACACTAGCCAAGGCAGAAGCACCAGTGTACATAGGTAGCCTAAATGGAGAGTTTCTTGCTTGTTTGTTTGTTTGTATATATCCTTCTTATAAGTGCAATTGCTGGTTTGTCTCCTCTGTGTGTGATGCAGTCAAATTGGCCAGGGAGAATTCACAAAGACTTTGTATTGGAAGAATCCGTTCTAAATGCAGCGATCAGGAGGTAGGGGAAAGGAACAGAGAGCAAGGCACGGCGAGGCAAGAAGCCAAGAAGACGGGACAACGAAGGATTGTAAAGGAAAAGGGAGCAAACGGGGAGACGGACCAGAGGGAGTGAGTGAGGTTAGCCTCTGACAGGGATAGGCCAGTTTTCCCCTCACTGCATCTCACCACATGTCACACTCTCTGCTTGTCCCTTTGCAGGTTGAGAAGTTAGAGTACGTTAGGTAGAGGAGCACAGAATGACGGAGCTGGAGGAAGAATGCAGGGTAGTGGAGCAAGATATGCACTAGGACAATATATCAACACCGATGGACAACAAAACAACAATTCTCATTGTCATCATCCCCCCTGTACGTCCCTAGGCTTGCTATTGCCGCTACTGCTGTTGCTGTCAAAATGCAATTATAGGCTTGTACTCTGTAGTGGGATAGCCCATATAGGTTACAACCCTTTTAGGGTTGAACTTTTGTATCTCATTGCTGCTAGTCACAAATCATTCTTGCTGCTTCATTCTAACATGGTTTCAGACCAGGTCCCATTGTAGGACCATATTTTTAGGGCCCACCGTTAGTTCCGTCCTACACATTTTTCTGCCCTGCCCTAACAGCGATCGCGAGTGCCCTGCCCTAACCGCGTCCCGCTTGCTGCCCTGCCCGCTCTACCCCGCGCCCTCTGCCCTGCCCCGCACGCGACCCGCCCGCTGCCCAGCGCGCGACCCGCACGCTGCCCGCACGCGCCCTGCCTGCGCCGCCTGCACGCGCGCTGCCTGAGCCCTGCGCGCGCTGCCCGCACCGTCCGCACACTGCCTGGGCTGCCCGCGCGCACTGCCTGCACCGCCCACGTGCTGCCTGCGCTGCCCGCGCGCTGCTTGCACCGCCCGCGTGCTGCCCGTGCGCTGCTTGCACCGCCCGCGCGCTGCCCGTGCGCTGCTTGCATTGCCCGCGCGCCGCCTGCACGCTGCTTGCACCGTCCGCGCGCTGCTTGCGCGCTGCCCCTGCTGCCCGTGTGCCGTACGCATGCTCCCCTGCGCCGCCCGCATGCTGCCCTGCGCCGCCCGCATGTTGCCCTGCGCCGCCCACAAGCTGCTTGCACGCGTGCTGCACGCGCTGCCCGCGCATTTCCCGCGTCGCCCGCGCTTGCTACCCGCGCGCTGCTTGTTCGCGCGCCGCCCGCACTCTGCTCTGCCCCGCGCGCCGCCGCTGCCCTGCCTCCTAAGGCCTGCGCCACCCTGCCCCGCGCGCTACTGCTGCCCTGCCCCTTAAGGCCAGCGCCGCCCTGCCCCGCGCCCTTGCGTCGTGCTGCCGCTGCTGCCGCTTTTGCTGCCACAGCTGCTGCCACTGCTGCTACTGCCTGCTATGGCAACCATTGCTGTTCTTACCTTTGACGCGGAGGGTCGCCCGATCCAGTTTGACTGCTGGCTAGAGGATCTCCAACTGTACCTGCAGAGCGTAGCTAGGGACGATGTCTCACTGTATGAGCATACGTCGGGGTCCCTTCCCGCCCCAGATGAGACAGCTGACCGTGTATCTCGTTCCCAGTGGCTCACGCGCGATGCCACCGCTTGCCTTGCTGTCCGCAACCACCTGCCGCTAGATGAGAGGCCCCATTTTGGCCAGCTGAAGACGGCTAAAAAGCTCTATGACGTTGTAGTCAAGCGCTACTCCTCCCTCTCTACTGCTGCCCTAGGCCGTCTCATGCTGCCATACCTCTTTCCTGAGCTGACTGACTTCCACACCGTCGTTGATCTTATGACCCACCTCCGCTCTAGTGACACTCGCTACCGCGCTGTTCCCAAGCCGGCATTTCTGGTTGCGAACCAGCCCCCCGATATACTTCACTCTTTACTTCCTCGTGTCTCGCCTCCCTCACTCTCTCCGCGCCGTTAGGGACCACTTCCTCTCCCTCGACCCCACTGAGCTCACGCTTGCCTCGCTTGAGACTCGTCTCTTAGGGGCTGAGACCAGTGCCCGCGCCGTTGCCGCCTCCCGTGGCACCCCCATCCCTTCCTTTTTTCAGGGGTGTTCCCCCTACCTTCTCACGCCCACTGTTGCCACTACTGCTGGTGTTGACTTCCTTCGTGCTGAGGTCGGTGCTGCATCTGCTTCTAGTGGGAGGTGCCGCAGTGGCAAGGGCAAGGGGGGTAAGGGTGGTG